AGAGAGAAGGCGTTAGGAGGGGAGGGCCTTTGGATCATAATGACCACCACATTCATGCTGAGAGGGAAGGGAAATCATAGAGTTTTGAACAGGGGGCATGGTTTTATGTACAATTTAGTACAATCACCCGGATGCTGTGTTGAGGGCAGACTGAATGGAGGCAAGTGCCGAAGCAGGAAGAACAGGAAGAGGCTATTTTCATAATCCAGGTGAGCAAGCATAGGTTGAGCCAGCGTGACGGCAATGAGGGATGGTGGCCGTGGTGAGAGACCGCCTGGCTTGCTGGGGCCTACCTCAAGGCTTTAGGAATAAACTGTTCAGGAAAGTAAGGACAAGGGAGGAAGGGGGCCGCCTTTAGGTTTGTAAGTCACCTGGAATTGGTTTCTGTGTGTGGTGAAAGAGTACAACTTCATTTTTTTCTGTCCAGTATTCTGTTTTCCCAGCGCCACACATTGCCATTACTGTCATATATGAAGTGTTCATTTATGTGTGAGTCATTGCATATATTGGTCATGTTTCATTGATTTATTTGTCAATTTGTGTGACGATATTATATTGTTTTTTTACTTTCTAACCAGTCTTAATATTTGATAGAACAAGAACTCTCACCTTGTATGTATGTATGTATGTATGTATGTATGTATGTATTTATGTATGACATTCAATATTATAATAATTTAAAGTGTACAGTATAGTGGTTAGACATTTATATAATTTAAGAAGTGATCCCCCTGACTAGTCCAGCACCCACCTGGCACTAAACATAGTTCTTATCATATTATTGACTATATTCCCTAGGCTTTCCTTTACATCCCATGGACTGTTTTGTAACTTCCAATTTGTACTGCTTAATTCCTTCACCGTTTTGACCCTGCCCTCAACCCACCTTCCATCTATCACCACCAACAAATCTAGTACCCATCTGACACCATACATAGTTATTACAACATTATTGACTATACCCTGTATGCTATACCCCAGATCACCATGACTACTGTGTAATGACCAATTTGTACTTCTTAATCCCCTCCCCTTTATCACCTACTCCAAAACCCCTCCCATCTGATAACCATCAAAATGTTCTCTGTATTTATGAATTTGTTTCATTTGTTTGTGTATTTTGTTCTTTAGATTCCACTTATAAATGAAATAATATGACATTTGTCTCTCACTATCTGACTTACTACACTCAGCACAGTACCCCCTAGATCCATTCATGTTGTCACAGATGGCAAGATTTCATTCTTTTTAATGACTGAGTAATATTCCATTGTATATATGTACCACATCTTCTTTATCCATTCATTCATTCAGGGACACCCAGGTTGCCTTCATATCTTGGCTTTTGTAAACAATGCTGCAATGAACATATGGATGCACACATCCCCTCAAAGTAGCATTTTGGCTTTCTTTGGCTAAATACCCAGAAGTGGAATTACCAGGTCATTTTTTATCTCTTGTTATAGCCTTTGTTTTAAAGTCTATTTTGTCTGGTATAAGTATTGCTACTCCAGCTTTTCTTTTTTTTTTTTTTGATTTTTTTTTTTGGTTTCATGAAATGACTTTTTACATTTAAAGTATTGTAATTGTTGATAGGTATGTAGTTATTGTCATTTTATTATTCACATTTTTTTTTTTCATCTTAAAAAAGTCCCTCTAAGATTCCTTGTAATACTGGTTTGGTGGTGATGAACTCCTTTAGCTTTTCCTTGTCTGTGAAGCTCTTGATCTCTCCGTTGATTCTAAATGATAACCTTGCCGGGTAGAGTAGTCTTGGTTGTAGGTCCTTGCCAATAGAACATTGACAGTCTTTCTTTTTTTAAATTATTTATTTATTTATTTATTTATTTATTGGTACTGGTGATATTCTAGACCTTATTCTAAATTGTGGTTTTTGCATGTATATATTTTCTACATCTTTGAAATATATTCATTTCATAGAGTCTTTAGTAGGGACAATAGATTTTAAAAATTAAAGCAAAAATTAACCATATTAAGCACTAATGCTTTAAGGTACTGAGTGAAAATTTTCAAACTACAAGAGAAAGACATTACTCAGTAGAATTTTTCAATAAAGTCATTTTTATTATGAAATATTTCAGACATAAAAATGTAAAGACTATTATAATGAATACCCTAGTACTGAACTAACCTTAAACAATAAAGCATTTTACATGTAGGTGAAGCACACTATGTATCCCTTTCTAATTGCATTTCCTGCCTATCACAGAGGTAACCACAATCACGAATTTGATGATCATCCTTGCAATTCGTATCTTTATGCTTTTGCCTATAGGTATATATCCTTAAACATTATGGAGTGTTACTTTGCATTTTATAAAATAATATATGAATGATATACTGCTTATGGTATGTGTCCCTCCAAAGATAGTTTTTGCTAAACATAATTTATTTGATAAATATTTTTTTACGAATTTTTTTATTTGTTTTGAGATAATTTGGAATTGCTTGTTGAAACATTTTTTTTTTTAAGATTTTTTTATTGGGGATTGGGGGATGGGAACAACACTGGGGAATTGGGGGAAGGGGAAGAGACAAGTTGCTGTCGTCCTGTTCTTCAGTCTAGTTGTGGAGGACGTTGCTTCACTGGCCCAAGTTGGCACCATCATTGCGCTCTTCCCAGGCGAGGCAGATCAGTCGCCGGCTTCTGGACGGCCGCTCACTGAGGCTGCTGGCCGCTCACGCTGGCTGCTGGCTACACACAGTAGCCCATGGCAACCCACTGCCACAGGGGCTGCAGCCTATGCTGTCGCCGGCAACTCATGGCAGCACAGCTCCAGGTTGAGCTGTTGTTCAGCATCTTAGCTGTGGAGGGCAGTGTCACTGGCCCTCATATGTGGGATCCGAACCGGGGCCCTCTGGCGTCCCAAAGCCAGTTCTTAACCATCGCGCCACTCGGCCGGCCTGAAACATTTTTTATGATGGCTGCTGTAAAATCCTTGTCAGAGCATTTCAGTGTCTGATTTCTCTCTATATTGGCATCAGTCGATTGCCTTTTCTCATTTGGGTTGTGACTTTCCTGGTTTTTGGTATGATGGGTGACTTTTTGTTGTATTCTAGACATTTTGGATATTAAATTTTGAGATGCTGGATCCTATTTAAAATTTTATTTCAGCAGAAAGTCACCTGTTTATGTTTAGTGCATAGTCCCTGGCTTACTTTTTGAGGGCTGTGGTTCCAATGACAATATAGGTTTCAGAAAGTATACAGCATTATTCTTGTCCACGTCATTCACCTGGTGCCACCGGAGCTGCTTGCTCCTGCTGATGCTGCCTGCGGGGTAAGTGCACGTTCCCTGGCAGGTCGTGCTAGGTGGAGTGTGAGATGCCGGGCCATGAGGCTCTGAGTGCTTCCCTGAGTCTGATCACTGCTGCTGTTGCCTTAGCGGGTGGACGGGGCTTTCCTGGGCTCCCCATGCAGGTGCCACTAGGTGGCGAGTGGAGGATGCTGGGCCTGTGGGACAGAGAGTGTCTCCCACGACCTTCTCTCTAAGTCACCTGGCACCAACGGGCTTCTTTCTCAGTCTCTGCCAGTGCTGCTAAGGGAAGCATAAACCTAGGCCTCTTAGGCCTCTTTCTGCCTCTGGTGGGAGTGGTGGGGGTCCCCGTTTGCCACTGGGTGGAGGCCCATGAGATGCTGGGCGTGGGTCTTCCTCTACTGCTGAGTGGAGGACCAGGAGACACTGGGCCTGTTGGCGCTTCTGGGTGGAATTCTCTGCCAACTCTTTCAGGTGCTGCTGCTGTAGGTATGGAGTGGGGATGGGGTTCCCCAGGAGATCTCTGCTGGGCTGCCTCTTTAGACCTTCAGCCAGAGAGCTGGCTTTTCCTAGAGACTTTTTTTTTTGTCTATGCTTTTTGGTGGTTCTGAGTTGTAGGCCTCTCCTGTGCCCAGTCTGGGCTATATGGGAGACAAAAAGAAATCCCAGACAACTCACCGCCATGTTTTCCCTCAAGTTCTAAGGTCCCTAGCCAGTCTGCCTTACTCTTTCCACTTTTCAGGGTCCTTTTGTAATTGTCTGTAATTATGTACAGGGTTCTTAGTTGTATTTAGAGGGGAGTAACAGGGAAAAGTGAGTCTGTGTCATCTTGTCTAGGACCAGAAGTCTCAAAGAAGTCAGGCTATTTTATTTTATACATCTTTCCTCAATGCATCTCTCTCCTTACATTGTGCTATAAATAACAAGGAGAGAGCTTGGAAACCTCATTATCTACATAACCAGGCTCACAGGTATATGTTCTGTTTTTCACGTAACTGCAGGAGGCAATGTTGTCACGCTTTCTGTCATTACATTTTTCTATCCCTGACTGCACCTGGAAGAATATATTTATCATAGAATTCAGTAGATATCTATTTTTTAAAATAAAATTCATGCGCATTAAAAAAAACTGAACTCAATATCTTAGTAACAGTAAAAATAAGATACGTATTCGATAGAATGTCTCTAGTTCACCTAAGTTCAATCAGATACAAGATAGATCAAATAGTAATTGAGATTAATCACAAGCAATATATATCACAACACTGAAAAACAGTAAATATTTGATGAGCGAGTTGATGAATATTTATCTTTTCCTTTACATTTCTTTGACATTTGTGTGTGTGTGTGTGTGTGTGTGTGTGTCTGTCTGTCTGTCTATCTATCCATCTACCTACCTATCTATGTATCATCTACCTGTCTGTCTATCTAATTTTATGAACTAGAACCTAGGTTTGTTTCTTCATAAAACAGTTATTTTATGCCTCCACATTATTTATAACATATAAATAATAACATTGCTATGCATTAACATTAAATTATCATCCATTTATTCTTAATCCAGCATAGGTAGATTTAGGTGGTTCAAAATTACAAGGAGAAAAAATTTATTTTCAAAGATCACACATTTTTGTAAATCTCTAAAATACTGAAAAAACTGATGTTTTGTCTTAAGTAATTCTTGTGAGTCACTTATTGACCCATAAATCTAATGATGTAACCATCAAACCCTTTTTGACTGCTGTGCTATCTTAACATGTTTAATTTGTGGGGGAGTTCTAAAAGTGGGATCCCAACTGTATTCTGGCGATAACAACTTCGTGGGCTTATTGATAAAAAAATACTTGTTTAGGTGACATTCATATGTACTGCTGAGTCCATTTTTAGTGTCATTAGTTACTGCTTTTTGATATTCTGCAGTGAAAGTTAAAACCTCACGGGGTGTGCCACCAAAAATTGCACTGTCATAATAGAAATCTCCCTTTCCAAAAGGGATGAAAGCTGCTGAGTTAGGCCTTCTCTCATAAGGGACTTTTTTAGCATTTTCAAAATACCACCATGCATGAAGCTGAGCTACAGACTTGCCCAGGGTTTCCACTCCAAAGTCATTCTGGAAGAGCTGGTTTATAGTCATGCTGAAGAGAAAGTTGACTTCGTGCTGGATGTGTTCTTTGATGTACCCATTTAAGTTCTTCATGAGTACGACATTCAAGTCTTCCCACGCCTTTCTTTCTGATGCAATAGTAAAGAGTTTAAACGTTCGAAGGGGACCTAACTCTATGGGAGGTAGCGTGGAGAAGTCATCCATCATGATGTAAAAGATAACATGGTAGCCAATCATGAAGTGCTTATTAGCAGATTGGATGAACTGTTTCAGGTGCTCTCCTGCAAACCTGTGAAACACGAGAAAACAAAGAGAGAAAAACTAAAAGTCATCAGGAGAATACATGTCCTTTCAACATGTGGTTTAATATACATGTCACTGTTGCTAAAGACCTACCCGTAGGCAAAGGTAGAGGAGTTGGGTCTGAAGCTTACCTGTACTGGTTAGTGAGAGAGAATGTAGTGAGCTTGGGGGCCTGAGAAGAACCCTAAAGTGTATTGTGAAGAAAGAAAAAGGGAGCTAGATGGATCTTAATGAAAAGGTTCCCAAGTAGTGTTAAGGACTCAGCCATGGCTGGAGAAAATAACCACTATAAATAAGTGTACAGATCAGCCAGAAATAATGATGAGGGTTAATTAATATGCATAGCTCTTTGGGTATAGAGAGTCCATGGGTGCTGATCTCCATTTTTCCAAAATAAAAAAGGATGAATATTAATAGCACCTACTTTCCAGTAGCCCATACCACCAAGCCTATGGTAATGTTCAGCCGTTTATAATATTTTTCCAGGACCTGTGTTTTGTAAGTTCCTTCCCATATGACTGGAGCAAGCCAGTCAGTTGTTGTTATGACATCAGGGCGTTTTCTGTTAAACAGACAAGAAACAAATTAAGCAGATACCACTTTATTATGACAGCAGTAGCTGTTGTCCAAATGAATATGCTAATGATCATAAAGTACTTACTGTGTGCCAGGCATGGTTATATTGAGTGCTTTATGTTACTCATTTAATCCTTGCAGTCTCCTATAATGTAAGTACTATTATTATTCCTATTTTTCCTATGACGAAAACTTAGGCACAGATGGGTTGAGTAAATTGCTCAGTAGCACACAGCCAATAAATGGCAGAGTCTGGGCTCTACTGGGCTTCAGGACCTAGGCGTTAGTCATTGCCCTATAGAGCCGTTTGAGCCCAGTGATTTTTTTGTTTGAGCTCTGATTGCAGCTTAAACTTAAGTAGCCCAGGGTCTGAACATTTGTCGGATTATTGGCTAAAGCAGACAGCACCACTGTCGCCTCATGTCTTGTTCTTTATTTCCTCCTTCTCCTTTTTCTCTCCCTCCCTGCTCTTTTCCTAGAAGCCCTAGAGTGCTCTCTTTTCATTTTTTCCCTAATGCTTTAGGCCCTTCCGTGCAACCTGGAAGAAAAGTGAGATTAGTCCAAAAAAGGGAGAATGATATTAGATTTGCATTAGAGTAGCAGCATTAGTAATAATAAATAGTTTGGCCGCAGGCAGGGCGCATTAAACTATTAAAGCAAATGAAGAACTTTATTTTGGAAAGAAATGCATATAAAGTAAGAAGCCATTTTGCTATTGGTGATTGCAGGTTTTAAGTACAAACCCAGACAGGATTTGACAACACTTAATAGTATATTAATAATAATATACAGTGGTTCCCCCCCTTATCCATGGGGGATACAGTCCAAGACCCCCAGTGAATGCCTGAAACTGTGGGTAGTACTGAGCCCTATATATACTATGTTTTTTAATAACCAAGATGGCTACAAGGTGATTAAAGCGTGGCAGCATATAGAGTAAATACCCTGGACAAAAGGAGGAGTCACGTCCTGGGTGGGACTGCGTGAGACTTCATCATGCTGCTCAGAACAGCATGTGATTTAAAACTTATGAATAGATTATTTCTGGAATTTTCCATTTCATATTTTTGGACTGCAGTGGACCACAGATAACTAAAACCATGGAAAACAAAACTGCAGATAAGGGGGGAATACTATAATAATGAGTTTTTCAAAAGTGCCTCCTCTAACTGTCTTAGGGATTTCTTACACTTATTTTTTATACATTTGTGTTTAAACCCTCCCTATACTTAGAATTTATAGTCATATATTTCTATTTGACTCACAAGTCTTAAACTCCACTTTAAAATTGGCCCAATGTATCCTTGTCACAGTGATGAGGCTTGGAAATTAGGTCCACTACAGATACAAATCAATATCTAGTTGAGAATATGAAAGGGTTTCAAGATCATCCCTTTCTTTATTAGATCAGATTAAGGATTTGCTGCCAGAGTGAAAGAGAGTCTGAAAGCAGAAGGCAAATAAAGACCTGTGTTTAGAAATTGTCTGATAAACAGAAGAGAAATGCGAGGCTTAGAATCATTAGATTTATATTACAGGTATGGAACTCTTCATCTGGAAGGTAAATGCTGGCCAGACGGCGTCCTCTGCAAAGAGGCCCTCGGTGACCAGGTGGGCAAGGTGACCTACCCCCTGGAGGTCAGCCAGATGCTGGCTGGCTTAGTGTCTATGTACAAAGTGGCCCCAGCTACTTGGGGTCCAATGGAGATTCCGCATGGGCTCAGTGACACAGACACCCCCTTACTGAGGTTGAGCTATAGCCAGCGCTGAGTGCCCAACCTGCCAACAGCAGGGGCCAACACTGAGCCTACAATAGGATACCGTTTCCCAGGGGACCAGCCTAATATAATCAACCAGTCAGCTGATGGCTGGTTGATTATATTAGGCTCCATAATGGAAGGGTCAGCGTCTTTTCCTCAGGGGAATGTTTCATGTTCTGGGTAGGCATTTGCTTTCCCTGCTTACAAATCCACTAGCTTTGTTAACTTATAGAATATCTTATAGTCGTTGCCATTGTATCGCACATCACATCGCCTCCACGCAAGGTACACATTCCCTGGTGGAAGCAGTTCCATAAAGTTCTCTGGTCTGACTATGTGCATCACTGACCAGGGACAGATGGCCTGGTAGAAACTGGAGCGGCCAGGACAAGTCTCAATTTCAGTGTTAGTTCAGAGATAATTCCCTGAGACATTGAGGTACTGTTCTATGTACATCTTCATGCTTTGAGTCAATGAATAACAGGAGATGCCATTTCTTCCAACGCCAATATACACAGCCCATAGAGCAAGATAAATGTGAGCATGTTTCTGCTCGTGATTACATCTAATAACTCACTTAGAGAATGTTTACTTGCCATTGTAGTGACCTTGGGTTCAGTGGGCTTAGAGTTTTTAGTTCCCCAGGGAGGTGTCCTTCCTCTAGGGAGTAAGTCATGGTTCTAAGAACCTGATAGTAGGTCACTTGGGGTTCCTCATGTTGCTGAGTTAACAGGCAGCAAATGGCATGACTGCACTGGCTGGGATGGCGGATCTTTATCACCAAGTGGATATTAGATGCACCTACACAATGCTGGCAGGGAGGGCTGCATATAGAACCCAAGGGATTCTCTGGGGTGCCCCTTAGGGTCCCCATTTCTAGTAATAATGGTCAATGGGAAATTGTGGCAACTCAATAAAGTGGGACGCCTAAGGGACTCAGACTTCAGAAATCAAGGTTTGGGTCACTATCAGATAAGAGTTCGGTTCATTGAAGGGGTTACCAGAGGTCAAGGAGCAGTGATTATTAACTACTTCCTTTTATTACTAACCTCCTGAATAACTACATAAGTGGGATTGTAGTCGTGATTTATTATGTTAATTATTCTCTCTGCTTTCCCTGCCACCTTGTATGTTACAATTTAGGCTCTAGGTGGGAATGTGGCTGAATTGCCATCACCCTCTTGATGATACCCCATAGCTGATGGGACTTCATGTTTCTCCTGTTTGGGGAGCATGAGCTTTTTCATCTACGTGAAGGTTGAGAAATGATGCTGAGTAGCAAAAAAGGTGGATCTTGCTAGTCATCCTTCATTCACCATTTCACTATCCATCCTCAGCAATTCTCTGCCTAGCTGTATGCCTTGGGAGCAGACTGATCACCCAAGGTCCCCTGCTGTATGGCTTCCAGTGAGTTCTGCTAATGGGAGGCACCAGCATAAGATCAGAGAGCAGGAAGAGAAGTTATCTATTTTCCTCCTCTCTCTCCCAGCTTTGTTGCCTCTCTCTCCCAGCTTTGTTGAGATCGTGGCAGTGGCCATGTCTGTATGCAACTACAACTTCTGCTGGGCGGCTATTTCATGGTCCCGGCAATCCCTGGTCCCCAGCGACACCATTCCTTCCCTTGTCCCTTAAGGCCTAAGGTGGTCACAGCTTCCTGCCATTGCAAGCCCCTTGGTGTCTCCACATCCTTTGTTGGGTCTCTTAACTTTGTCCAAATCTCTGCCAACAACCCTTTCATTAAAAGTTAGTTCAGGGCTGGCCGAGTGGCACGATGGTTAAGAGCTGGCTTGGGACGCCAGAGGACCCCAGTTCGGATCCCACATATGAGGGCCAGTGACACTGCCCTCTACAGCTAAGATGCTGAACAACAGCTCAACCTGCAGCTGGGCTGCCATGTGTCACCAGCAATGGTGTAGGCTGCAGCCCCTGCTGCAGTGGGTTGCCATGGGCTATCATGTGTAGCCAGCAGCCAGTGTGAGCAGCCAGCAGCTGCCATGAGCGGCCATCCTGAAGCCAGTGACTGATCTGCCTCACCTGGGAAGAGCGCAATGATGGTGCCAACTTGGGCCAGTGAAGCAACGTCCTCCACAACTAGACTGAAGAACAAAAAACAACAGCAACTTGTCTGTTCCCCTTCCCCCAATTCCCCAATTAAAAAAAAATAATAATAATAATAATAACTATTTCCTTTAAAAAAAAAGTTAGTTCATCTCACTTGAGTTGTTTCTCACATACTCAGATAGATTCAGTATTTGAGAAGCTTAGGAAACATTTCATGAGGCCTGAGCAGATGGTGTCCAGCAGAACACAAAGTGACCTGATCATGTAGTATATTGCTTACAGTGGAAATTTCCAGAAAGGAAGTACACAGATAAAATGCTAAACTGTCATAGTACTATAGACTATCGTAGGTGTGAATGATAGGATGATAGAATGAAGCACAATGATGATGGAGGGAAATAATATATATGGCCTAAGATATCCACATTCTTAGTAAAGAGAGAATAGGTATTAAAATGAACTTGAAATGATTTCAATGCTATAAGGTATCACTAAGATTTGAGAAGATGTGATTCATGTTAATAATATGGGAGGGTATAATTTGTCCAAAAAGTTTATCTGGAGAGAGAGGGTGGGGGCTCTTCCTGTAAGTCAAGGCTGTATTGACCTACATCTAGTTCTAGCAAACTCAGCATGAGTCTAAAAGGAGTAAAAAGCAGAAGTAATATGTTGGAAATAAATATACCACAAATGGGCAGAATCATGACAGACTAACACTAGAGAATTTTCAAGGCATACGTTTTCCGCATGCATTCCTGCTCCATCCTTATACAATGTCTTCACATCCTGTCTTCCCGGCTTGATCGCCATATTAACAGCCTAGTTTGTGCCCTTTTCTTTTTCCCCCTCAATATTCACATTCTATAGATAATCTGTGCACAATATAAACTCATATATAAATACAAATATATATCCAGTCTTTTAAAATATTGTTTATTTGACAGTAATGAAATAATGCATACTTTTCTGCACCTTGCTTTTCTCATTCAACACAATGGGTGGAGATCCTTCTAGGTGACCTGGACTCGTTCTTATTCATGCTTTTTAACAGCTGAATAATATTTCAAGGTGAGGACAGTTTGTTTAGCAACCTTGTTAGAATAGGTATTCATTTTCTTTCTGGGATTTTTGTCACTATGAGAAATGATACAATAAGCTTTCTTAACC